AAACTCTTTTTCAACTCAATGTGAAGGGAACGACTAAGGAGGCACGGCAAGCCCTCCCGCACAATTAATATGAGTGCAGACCGTGTTAAGAAGGCAAAGATCCAAAGTCTTAAGAGGGAGTTTGAAGCCCTCCGGATGAGAGATGGAGATGCCGTCGAAGACTTTGCTGGAAAGCTTTCAAGAATTGTGAATCAGAGACGTTCTCTTGGAGAGAAAATTGAGGAGTCTGAAGTGGTGGAGAAGCTTCTGTGGGCCGTACCTGGGAAATTCCTTCAAATTGCTTCAACTATTGAGCAATTTGGAGATCATGACGCTTGAAGAAGTGATTGGATCATTACGGGTTCATGAAGAACGCCTGAAGGACATCGAAGCACGTGGTGACAAACAAGTACTTCTAACAAAAAGTGAGTGCAAGTCCAAAGATGAGAGTGGAAGTCACTCATGGCGAGGATGAGGTCGTGGTCGCGGCCGTGGGAATGACCGTGGGCGCGGTCGTGGAAGAAATGAAGGGCGTGGAGAAGCACGTCGTGATGATGGAAATCAATAAGAAAGAAAATTTGACATATCAAAGATGAGATGCTACAATTGTCAAAAGTATGGGCACTTTGCTGTTGATTGTAGGTCAAAGAAGAAGGAGAATAAAGCTTAGGTTGTTGAAATTAAAGCTTATGAGGATCCCACTCTATTATTGGCAGAAAATGAAGTGAAAGAGAACATGTTACTGCATAAAGAGCAAGTTTTGCTGAAGGCCAAAGGTGAAGAGAAGGTTACTATTGAGGATATGTGGTATCTAGACTCTGGGGGCTAGTAACCACATGACAGGTGACAAGGAGAAATTTATTGATCTTGATGAAGGAGTGTATGGAAAGGTGAAACTTGGTGATGGGTCTTTGGTTAAGATCCAAGGAAAGGGGACCGTGCAGTTGCAGTGCAAAACAGGAGAACACAAAAGGCTAAGTGATGTTTATTACATTCCTATGTTGTGTAATAACATTATTAGTCTTGGACAACTAACAGAACAAGGGTGCAAGGCTGTTATGCAAGGTGAGAAACTATTTTTATTTGATAAACAAGGGAGCAAATTGGCAGAAATTCAGAAGAATAACAACAGGCTATATTTACTCAACCTGAAGATTAGAAGGCCTATTTGTTTGAGTGATAGTTTGAAGATTTATGCATGGTTGTGGCATGCAAGATTTTGCCACATCAACTTTCAGGCCTTGAAGGAGATGCAGAGAGGAAAGCTAGTTCATGGCATTCCTGAAATTGATCACCCTGTGCAGATTTGTGATGGTTGTACAGTCGGCAAGCAACATAGACTTCCATTTCCAAGAGAAACCAAGTTCAGAGCTGAGAAGCCTTTACAGTTATTGCATGGAGACATATGTGGCCCAATCACCCCCGCTACTCCTAGTGGTTTCAGGTACTTTTTATTGTTAGTAGATGATTTTAGTAGATACATGTGGGTGTATTTATTAAAATCAAAGAGTGAAGCACATTCTATTTTTTCAAAATTCAAAATCATGGTGGAGAATGAATCTGAGATGAAGATTAAAGCTTTGAGGACTGATAGAGGAGGAGAGTTTCAGTCTTTTGAATTTAAAAAGCTTTGTGAAGAAAATGGCATAAAGAGGTTTCTTACTGCACCCTACACACCACAGCAAAATGGTGTTGTAGAGAGGAGAAACCAAACTGTTATGTCTATGGCTAGATGCTTACTCAAGAGTAAAAGTGTACCTTGCATATTTTGGGGTGAAGCTGTGAAGACCTCAGTCCATATCTTGGATAGAGAAACAATTCATAGTGTTCAAGGTATGACTCCCTATGAAGCATGGATGAAGTGCAAGCCAAATGTGCAGTATTTCAAGACTTTTGGTTGTATAGCTTATGTGAAAGCAGCAGGACCACACATAAAGAAGCTTGAAGATAGAAGTCATCATATGGTGTTGTTTGGATATGAGCCTGGCACTAAGGCTTATAGAGTTTATGATCCAAATGAGAAGAAGATTCATATCAGCAGGGATATAATTTTTGATGAAGAAAAAGAGTGGAAATGGGATGAGAAAGGCACTACAGCAGATGACAGAAAACAAGGCAGTTATGTGACTTTCAGGCTAGAAGGAGAAGCACACTCATCTTTACCAATTGAAGAGCAAGAAGCAACAACTCCTTGTATATCTACTAGTAGTCCTTCAAGGTATGTGACCTCTGAACCTCCTGTTACTAGAGAAATATCACCAAATTTAGATAGTAGTTCATCAGAACCCCATAGATATAGACAGTTGCAAGATATCTATGATGAAACTACTGAGTTGGAAGAGGAGGTTGGTGTATGTTTGACAGCTGTAGAAGAACCAATGTGTTATAGTGATGCAATTAAAGAAGATGTGTGGAAGAAGGCAATAGATGAGGAAGTTAATACTATTCAGAAGAATCAAACATGGGAATTGGCTGATCTACCTGCTGGATGTAAGGCAATAGGGCTCAAATGGGTGTACAAAATTAAGAAGAACACACAAGGTGAGATTGTGAGGCATAAAGCTAGACTTGTTGCAAAGGGGTATGCTCAGAGACCTGGTGTGAATTTTGAAGAAGTTTTTGCTCCAGTTGCCAGAATGGAGACCATTAGAGTTTTGATTGCCTTAGCAGCTCAAGAGGATTGGAAGATACATCATTTGGATGTGAAATCAGCATTTTTGAATGGTGAATTAGAGAAGGAGGTGTATGTCAAACAACCTGAAGGTTTTGTGAAAGAGGGGCATGAAAATAAAGTCTTGAGATTGAAAAAGGCTTTGTATGGTTTGAGACAGGCACCAAGGGCTTGGAACACAAAATTAGATGAATGTTTAATATCCCTTGGTTTTAGAAGAAATTCTCAGGAGCATGCCGTTTACATGAAGCATACTGGAGAATCAAGTCTACTTGTGGGAGTCTATGTTGATGACTTGATTGTGACAGGTTCTGATGTTCAGTGCATTGAAGAATTCAAGGCTCAAATGAAAGTAAAATTTGATATGAGTGATCTTGGCTTGTTGAGTTTTTATTTGGGCATTGAAGTGATACAGACTGATGATGAGATAAGATTATGTCAGAAATCTTATGCATTAAAGATCCTTGTAGATATGGGGATGACAGATTGCAATCCAGTGCAAACTTCTATGGAAGCCAGAATCAAGCTTACCAAATCAGGTACACATTCTTTGGTAGACTCAACTCAATATAGGAGTATTGTTGGTAGCTTGAGATACTTGACTCATACATAGCCAGATATTATGTATTCTGTTGGAATTGTGAGTAGATTCATGGAGACTCCTAATTCTTAGCACCTTGCTACTGTGAAGAGAATTTTGAGATATGTGAAAGGGACAACAGAATATGGTTTGGTATATCCAAAGAGGCAAGCAGAAGGAGGACTAATTGGCTTTAGTGATACTGATCACGCAGGAGATATAGATGACAGGAAGAGCACTACTGGGATGGTCTACTTTTGGGGTCCACATGTGATTAGTTGGGCTTCACAGAAACAAAAGATAGTGACTTTATCATCTTGTGAAGAAGAATATGTAGCTATCACTTCTACAGCTTGCCAAGGAATATGGCTTAGTCGCTTACTAAATGAATTGAAAGGGGAAGCAGAGAAGACAGTGAAGTTGATGGTTGATAACAAATCTGCGATTTCTATGAGTAAGAATTCGGTGTACCATGGAAGGTCTAAGCATATTGATACTCGCTATCATTTCATCAGAAGTTGTATTGAGAAGAAACAGATTGAAGTGGAGTATATCAGAACAGAAGAGCAGTTGGCTGATATATTCACCAAGTCTTTGGGAAGAGTGAAGTTTATAGAGATGATAAAAAATATTGGTCTAAAAAGTTGCAAGTTTGAATGACAAGATTAGGGGAGGCAATGTTAAGCTAATCTTTGTCATTTTATCGTAATCCTATATTTAGATGTTTGTTTATCTCATTCAGTTTTATTTGTGTGGTGTAAGTTATAGAAAAATAACTGTGTAGCAGTTATTTGATTTTGCTTTGAACCATAAACTTCTTTTACTCTCTATGTTCTGTTGTTTTAAAAAAAACCTACAGTTTTTCTTTTGAATTGAATATGAGAAGGTTTGTGTGAAGAAGAGAATCTGTCCCGTTTTCTTTTCCTTTCTCTGTTTTTTCTTGTTCTTTGCTACAGGTACAAATCCTTCCAAACAATCCGGCTTCAGGCTTACCTTTGGGTGGATTTTCACATCTCTGGCTTCTGATACAGGACAAGTGCCTAACAGATTTCCTGGCTTGTAGCAGAAGTCGAATTTGAAAATTGAAATCTTTAAATAATGTTCTTTAAGGCTATGATTTCAATGTCTGTTTTATTATGAAAGCCATAAGTGACCCACTGGCGGAACTATAGTCTTCTTAGGGGGGGCAATTGCCCCCCCTCAAAAAAAAAAATTTTTTTTTATAGGAGTAAAAATTTTAAAAAAAAATTTTTTAGGAGAGTAAAAAATTTTCTCCTAAAAAATTTTTTGCCCCTCCTAAAATTTTTATTTTGCCCCCCTAAAAAACTCTTTTGACCTAACTTGCCCTAAAATATCTATATATTTCTTCACATTTAGTTCTAATATTTTTTTTTTCATGATTTTAATAACAGTTTAATTACACATTTTTTCTTTAATTTTTCTTGCTTACTTTTTTTAAAAAAAACTTTTTGTAATATATAGATACATAATATTATTTTTTTAATATTTAATTATTTTTGTGCTTTATTTGCCCCCCTCAAAATTAAAGCCGGTTCCGCGCCCATAACCATGGTTATTTAGTTGTTGTTGAATTCAAAACGAACTGGAATGTTATGAACCTGTCACCGTTGCCTGCAACTTTGAACAATAAATGACTGAGAATTAACAACAAAACATTAAAAATTGTTTCTTAAGGAACTCAAACATGGCGCATCTCTATTGTTTTTCTTTCTTGAAATCTTCTCATTGATTCCCATTACCCTGCTCGATCTAACGCCATACCTGCTTAAAGAGCGAAATGATGCCGAAGGAGCAACCACGGTACATCAGCAGAAACCACACGAAGGCCGGGAAGACGGTCAGCTCGCACACGAACGGAATGAGTTCCTTTGCACCTGTCCTCCTCCCGTTGTAAATCTGTAAAAAGATATTACAGGCGAAGGCCACGAGGAGGGAAATTAGGGCCAGAACGAATGATAAAACCGCGAAGAAGAGCTTGGTCGGGATTGAACGCCGGAACTCGCGCTCTCTGTACGACGAGGTAACCAAAGACAAGAACAGAACCAGCGCCGTTGCGGCGCAGGATAACCCGAACACGAATGCGTTCTTGAACACAATAAATGCCGTCTTGCTGTAGATATTGCCGCCGCCTCCGCTGTCGTCGGAACCAGGAATGGAAATACTCGAAGCAAAGACGAATGCTGCCACGAGGCTGGCGCAAGTCTGCCCCAGCTGGGTGAGCTGTTCCTTGCCTTTCCTTGCCATATTCTTGTGGTTCTCTGAGAAGCACTCCTGCGCGGTCATCTCCTCCATGTTGCGGCTGTACTGAAGGTCCCTGGGAATCAATGTCTCTACTTTTTCAAACCACTGCAGATCTTTCTGCATCTGAAGAGCGCCGACCACTTCCACATCGACCGTGACTTCGGCGGCGTAGTGGAGAATGGTGTTTTTCTTGTTGTCTCTGGCGTACAGTAGTCGTGAAGGAAACACGGCATTTCTGCCTGTAAGTTTTGATTTCACCAACTCAAAAATCTTCTGGTTGCCGAGCGAAATGGCCACCTGAATTATATTCTTTCCTTGGACGTCCAGGATGCTGACGGACTGCGGGTAGACCTCCAAGATCTTCTCGACGAATTCGTAGAGCCCCATCTTGGCGCCGATTATCAGCGGCGAGTCGTTCCAGCGCAGTAGGCGAGCGTCGAAGCTCTCCTGCTCTTCGTCAGACTCATCATGTATCTTGATGAGCGCCATGGTTTTTTTATGGTTTCTTTTTACCTGATTTAAGTACTTTATTGTGGGGAAAACTTCATCAGCATACACAAATTTATCATATTCGTCGTCCACTATAGGTTTGTGGGCGCTGAAACTTGTGCTTTTATCCACTTGGCCTGTCATCCCCTTGCCGATGAAATCCCAGTAATCTGCATCCTCTGCCAAACACTCGATGAGCGCCAATGTTTCTTTATGGTTTCTTTTTTGCTGCTCCAAGTACTTTATTGTAGGGAAAACTGTATCAGCATACACAAATTTATCACACTTGTCAATTAGTTACCGAATTGAACTTATAGATTTGTTAGAACTCACTTTGCTTTAAGATCCTGAAAATTTGCAGTTTCGCCCATCCGGCTGCAGGACAAAACCAGCTTCATTAATTAATTATCACTTGTAAACCCTAAACTTTAGAGAGCACATTCAAAACATATAAAAATACAGGATATTATTCCTTTCAGCCACTAAATCAACATGTTTTTCACGTATCATTAAGATATTTATACAGATTATCAAGAAATATAATGACATTAGTCTAGCATTCCCTCTTTATATTAGATTTAAAAGATAAAGTAAGCATTGCTCGTCAGTTCTTATATTAGTTCTTGCCTGGAATTTTAGCCAATTTTAACAGTTTAAACATTGTGGCGTAGTTTGGAGGAAAGCTTTTTGTCTTTTGAAGCTGTGGGTTCTCCTCGTCGTGATCGTTTTGATCAGTTACAGGCTGCACACCATCAATCTGTTAATAGAACATGAAGGATCAGGAAATTAACAAATCGTTATTTTCTCTCTTTCTTTTGCTCCAGGAAGAAAAATAATGTAACGTATTCTTAATTAAAGGGAAATGGATTGATTTTTTTTTTTCTTTCTTTAATTTTGAAAGTTGGATTTCACTGAATTTTGATCAAGACGAATCACAAGATTTTTATTAAATTTATATTATTTTAAGATACTGATCACAATATTTTTTATAAAATTTATATTGTATTAAGCTTAAAATAAATTTAATAATTTAAAAGTTTTTTATGGGATTAGTATTTAGTCATTATTATTATTATTATTATTTTTCTTTTAAAAACTGTGTATACTAAAAAATTGTTATAGAAAACTGTAAAAAAATTATCTCAAATAAAACTTAAAACGCCTTGATTAAAAATTTTGATTAGCATAACATAAGCCTGTTTTCATCATGAAACATTTTTTAGCGTATATATAATTTTCATATTACCATGTCCGGGTAATCATCTTTGATAGCGAAGGACGCAGCCCGCTCTCCATCATCATAAAGAGGGATACCTGATGACCTTCAAATCTTAGTATTACTTACAGTAAACAGTAAATTCATTTAATGGTTATGATTCTTCAGTAGGTGGGTATGAATATTAATTTGTTCTCACACTTATAGACGAAGGATTCCAACGGTCCAAATTCCATTTCACTCTTGAATGCTCCTGGAATTGTCACCATAAGTTGCAGGGGACTCACACCAGCTACGTTTCTCCTCGTACGTAGATGTGGAAATCTCTCAGCTATATCCAACGCCAGTCCTGCCACATGGAAGCATTATAACGCACAGATCAGCAATTTCTGTGGCATAATCCTTACCTTAAATTAATTTAATATGTTTTAAGCATTATTTCTTTGTACATGCATTATACATTGATATATCATCAAAAATTTATCTTGATCGAGCACGAATCTTGAGGTAAAATCAAGTTGAAAACTTTCAAAATTAAATTTGGGACCATTGGAACTCTGATTTCAACAAACTTACAGTCGAACTGAACATCTCGAAAAGACGAACTCAACGACACCAAATTCATCTCAATCCAATCCCAAATGTGTCCAAATCGAAGACTCAAAGTATCTTTGGAAGGTTCAAAACCTAATTTGTATTTTCAAACGTGGAATGCTTATTGTCGAATCGATCGGCTCGACGAGACAAATCCAACGAGCCTAAGATCGTCAAATTTTGATATCATTAAGATATTCAAATACACAGTAAACAGACAACGGTCAAAGGATTCAATATTTGCCGTCCATTCAAAACACTCCCAATATACCCTTAATCTTCTCCTTATTTATTGATCATGCCACTATGTGAAAACTATAAATAAATCACACTTTTCTCATGGAAAGGGGGTCCAATAAAGGGGAGGAGAGGACCCAAGGGAGGAAAAGAAGAAAGAAGAGAAACTAGAGTTTTATTCAAGGCTTTTAAAACCGGACCGGTCAATGAACCGGAAGGTGGGTTAGAGGTTTGATGGTTCGACCGGGGTCGAACCGGATGACGTAATAAATATTTATTATATTTAAATATTATAATAATGACACAATTATTTATAAATATATAACAAAAATTGAAAAAAAATTATAATACTTTTACTTATATAATAGTGAAATGTTAGTCAAATAAATTCAAACATTTAAATCTAAAGGAAGATCATATATGATCAATTAAAGTTTTAAAAATAAATACAATTAAATCTACTAATTTAGTAATTTTTTTTACTAATTTAATATTTTTAATTTTAACAGTATACATTAGACATATCTCTAACTTTTACTTTTTTAATATAACTAATTATTAGAAGGAAAAAAAAAAGTGACTTAAGCTTAAAAAAAAAAAGT